TGAAAACAAACAAACAGATAAAAACAACAACAAAAGTGGGGCCTGGCCTCCAGGACTGAGCCTTTGAAAGCTATGCCTGTTTTTGGTTGTGACCTCCAGTCTCTGTCCCTCAGCCTGCCACCGTGTGAACAAGAAGCTGCTACAGATTAGGTTCCTCTACTCTGCCTTCCCCACCATGACGGACTTGACTCTGACTGCTGGAAACCCCCGGCCATCACAAATCTTTCTTCCTACATTACTTTGTCACAGTGATGAGAAAAGCAGATACACACCCAAAGCCAGCGTGTCACATGCCTCCTCTCACCTACAAGAGGAAACAGGGGTCTTTCCCAGGGATTGAGCACTTCTGGGTTAGACTCAGAAACTGAAGGGAGGGATTTGTGTTGGTCGTTGAAATACTTTTATTTTTTGATCTGAAATCACTATTTCCCGACATGTGACATTGCTTTGACATCTGTGAAACCAGGAAACTTGTGAAGTCTCCTGGCGTCTTAAAAGTTGGATCTATGAAATTTATTAGGATAAATGGCAAGCCAAAGGTCTCAAGGGCATGTGCCTGTCATTAGAAATCCCAAACTTGCCCAGGGATAAAGCTGGTATTCAACTTGAATTTGAGCAGACAAAATCCCACTATCGGACCCTTCCATTCACCAAAGCAGAACTTCCTAAACTGTTAATCAAGACTGCTCCTCGGCAGCCAAAATATGGGACCCAGCACCTAACTTAAAATTTCTGCATGTGCTCAGGGGACATTTCTAGCACTATAGAATTCAATGGCTGTTTTGTTAGACACAGGCTAACAGGTTTGCGTGCATGATTTCTAGGATATGTAGATTAAAAGCAAAACAAAAACCAAAAACAAACAAATAAAAAAACCCAAAACAACCTAAAACACAAAAAACAAAAAAAGAAACATAAAACAAAACCAAAAAATGACAAGCTGGAGGACATGTGGGAATCTTGCTGAGGAAGATTTGCTGAAGACATAGAAAGTGATGGGAAAATGACAAAATCAGCCACAGAACGCATAAGCAGGGCAGCTTGCCCCATCACGTGGAGAGAGTTCCCACTGTGAGCACAGTGCATCTCCTAGAATACTGCCTGGGGTGGCATTCCCCGGGAATCAGAGCTCCAAACAATTGCTTAAATACCATTTAATTGGGAGCTGAAGCAGGACCATGAGAAACCCAGCAGAAGATGTATCCTAAAGGCTGCCATGCATCCTAAAAAGCATGGAGAACACTTCCAGAGCTTCCTTCTCTAGGGGGTCGGGTTGAGCATCCACCTACCAGCACCGACCTGCAGCTCCTAATGCCCACACTTCCACATGGGAATCAGACCGAGTGTGCAGGACGGGCCCTCCGGTGGCTGTCGGGGAGGGGTGGGCTGACAGCATGTGTGGCAAACTGTACCCACACTAAAAAGTAAGTGTTGGGTCACGTCGGGGGCCAGACCCGACATTCCAGAGTGCCTGCTCTTCAACAGAGATCCTTGGCAGTGAAGAACAAAGGCAGACTGCGGAGATATGCTTTGGAACCACTGACAGAAGCTGTATGAGAGGAGGCAGTTGGAGACTAGGGACTCCCGGCTTCAGCTTCCAGGACCTGAAGCACAGAGTTTCCAGCCCCTCCTACTTGGTCCAGGGCTGTTCATCCAGGGCGTTTTCACTCTCCTCTTTCTGCTATGTTACGGTTCTAAGAGCTGCTCACTATTTCACAAACTGTTGGTGCCTTAGGTCAGGCTCTGCAGAGTCTAACGTCTAAGGGTTGATGCAGGTGAAGCTAGGCACAGGGGCACAGGCCTGTCGTCCCAGCTACTGAGGAGAAAGGTCAGATCAGAGGTTCAAGGCCAGCTTGGGCTACAGAGTGAGTTCAAAACCAGCTTGGTCAACCTTGTGAGACGTTGCCTCAAAATAAAAAAGTAAAAGGGAGCCGGGATTTCTGTTCGGTGGTGGGGTGCTCACCTGGCACGCAGAGGCCCTCAGTACAGCAAAACAAAGAAATCTAAAGAGGTGATCTCAGAAAAATTTGAAATAGAGTAGGGAACACAGGACAGAGTGTAGCTCGGGGAGGTCTCTATGGTGATCAGGGAACCTCTGAAATGCAAATTATTGTCATTGTTTGTTTCAATTTAGGTAAAGGAGCTGAGTTCTCAGTCAGTGGCTAGAGGATGTCCCCTTCTGGTTACAAGAGGCCAGTGCGTCATAGAAACCAGGAGGGAGCTAGGCTTCAGATGGAGCAGGGAGGGTGTCTAACACAGTGGCCCTCAGTGTCGGGCACGAGGATTAGAACATTACGTCACTGTGTGACCTCCAGGTGACCTCTACCCACTTGGAGAAGGATTGATTTTAGAGAACAAGTGTTCTGGTTTGGGTACCCTGGGTTTCCCATCTGACCATGACTTTAGGGAAGCCGCTGCCTCTCTGGGAGGCTTTGTGGGACCCCACTTTCCTGTCCCCTTGTGACTCCAGTCAACACTATCCGGATGCAGCTACCCAGCGAGCACCCCGACTGGCAGTAAGCTGGGCATCTCTCACCCTTAACCTGGGGACATATGATTGAAACTCTTTCACAGCGCTGTTGATGCGTGTGTAAGTCAGCTCTTCATGGTCAGCCAGGCAGTGGTGGCGCACGCCTTTAATCCCAGCACTCGGGAGGCGGAGGCAGGCCGGTATCTGTGAGTTCCAGACCAGCCTGGTCTACAGAGCGAGTTCCAGGACAGCCTCCAAAGCCACAGAGAAACCCTGTCTGGAAAAACCACCTCTCCCCCGCAAACAAAGACAGCACTTCCTGTCTGTGGCAAACACATGAGCAGTGTAGACGAAGGCAGGTTCAGGTTCACTGTTTCTGAGGTTTCCGTACATCAGCCTTGGCTCCATGTTTCTGGCCTGAGGCGAGGGAAAGCATCCTGATGGAAGCTGCTCCCATCATGGCCTTCGAGGCCACCGAGCGAGAATTGGGTATGGCCTGACATGAGCCATAGCCCTCAAAGCCGTGCCTCTGACCGCCCACTTCTTCCAGACAGGCCCACTTCCCAATAAAGCCATGGCATGATGAATCCATCAGTGGGTTAATCCGTTGATTGTTAGAGCCTTCAAGATCCAATCGCCTGGGCTGGAGAGATGGCTCAGTGGTTAGGAGCACAGGTTGCTCTTCCAGAGATCCTGAGTTCAATTCCCACCAATAACATGGTGGCTCACAACCATCTATAGTGCCCTCTTCTGGCCTGCAGGTGTATATGCAGATAGCGCACTCATATACATAAAATAAATAAGTAAATCTTTAAAACAAACCCATTCACTTGTCGACAATAGCATCACCAGCAGAGGGCCAAACCTGTCACATGCGTATCTGGAGGTAGGTTTCAGAGTCTGCACAGACCCAGACATACAAACACAATTAAAAGCAATGTTTAAGATATATTTTGATGTGAGTTCGAGGCCGGGCTGGACCGATAGCCTCCGAAACAATACAGAGAAACCCTGTCTAGAAAAAAAAAAAGATATATTTTGAAAAAGTAGTTGCCCTACCTGAGTCCAGAACAAGTGTGTGAACGGAACGGTTGGGTTTTCGTACTTTCCCTTACGCCCTCCCACCCTGCAAAGACCACAAAGAGTAACTTTCCCACGTCGGCCAGGGAAGCAGCTGCTGTGTAGGACCAGTGTGACTCAGCGCCCACCCTGGCCAGTCCAGTAGAGTGAAGATAGCTCTGCTCTGAGGTGCCTGGTGTGGGAGGGATGATGTCTGGGTTGATGAAAAATGTCCCACTTGTCTCTGTCATTCAGGAAGTGTGCCAGTAAGGCACCAAGGAGTGTGTTCTCAGCTTACCTGTTGTGGGCCTGCGAGGGGATGCTGGCCCTGGAGAATGCTTGGGGCCTGCTGGGAGCCAGGTCAGGCGGAAGACTGAGTGCTAGGACATCATTTGGAGAGATTGATGGAGGGGGCATGTGTCCCGGGGGAGGCTGAAGCCTGCTGTGGTTCCATTGCTCTTATTTACAGCCTACCCCTGGGCATCCATCACCCACAGACAGCTCAGCATAAACTGAAGTCTGGTAACTGCGCAGCCCACGGCCTCCTGCCCAGCCCTTGGCTGGAATGATGCTCTCCTCAGACACAGACAAGACAGAGACATGTAGAAGGAGGTTGTAGAGAATGTCCTGACCCTTGTGAGCTCATCATCCAGAGATAAGGTGTATGCACACGTTTGCACCCCTAAGTGTTTAAATAGCCCATGTTTGTGAGATAGACATAGCATAGATCGCTTGATTCCTAGTTTAGTACAGAAGAAACACATTTACCCTAAGTGCTAAGTAACACAAGCAGTTGTCTGAAACTAGCTAGGGAGATGGCATCAAAGAGTCTTTGCCACCTTGGTTAGTCAACTGGCTTTTACTGTGTGTGTAAGAGTATGTGTGTATTTGTCTGGGCAGTGGTGCACGCCTTTAATCCCAGCACTTGGGAGGCAGAGGCAGGTGAACCTTTGTGAGTTCGAGGCCAGCCTTGTCTACAGAGTGAGTTCCAGGAATAGAGCTACATAGTGAAACCCTGTCTTAAAAAACCAAAAAAACTAAAATCCAAACCAAAACAGAAGAGTATACATGTATGAGTCTATGTGTGTAAGAGTGTGTATGTCTGTGCAAGAGAATGCATGTGTGTGTACATGTGTGGTGTATGTGTGTCTGTGGATTTATGTGTATATGTGAGCATGTGTATATGTGTTCTGTGCATATATATATATCTGCGAGTGTGTATATTCATGTGTGCATGTGTATATGTGAGTGTGTGTCTGTGTATGTGTGGGAGAGAGTATGTATTTGTGTGTTTCTTTGGACAGCAGGTACACTAGTGCATTGGTTCTCAACATGTGGGTGGTGACCTCTTTGGGGTTGTCACATATCAGCTACCCAGTGTTGGGGAAGTCTTATGTGAATAAAGCACTGTTTGGCCAATAGGAATCTAGATAGGTGGGACTAGGAGTCCAGGAGAAGTCTGGGAAGGAGAAACACAGGGGAGTCGAGATGTAACCGCCATGGGGTAGGAAGCCCGGCTGTTCTCTGGTAAGAGAAATACTTAGATTAACAATTATGGGGTAATTACTTAAGTCAGAGCTAGCCAGTAAGAAACAAGCAAGGCCAACAGCTTCATAATTAATACAGCCTCCTGTGTGTTTATTTGGGGACTACAAAGCGGCAGAGCCTAGGCAACTGGCAGGGGATATACCAAAGCGGCTAGCAAGAAAAAGCTTCTCTTAACAACCCAGTATATCAAATATTTGCTTTAAGGCTGATAACAGTAGCAAAATTACAATTGTGAAGTAGCAACAAAATAATGTTATGGTTGGGGGTCACCACAACATAAAGGACTGTTTTAAAGTGTCTCAGTGCCAGGGAGGTTGAGAACCACTGTGCTGGTGAAATCCAGCGCAATATGGCTCCATGTATATTTCCTGGGGATGTTCGATATTCCAGGTGCTAAGAGATAGGGAATGCCTACATGGTCAGTCAGTTCCAAGCATGTCCCAACAGAACCCATGGCCAGTAGCAGCAACTGTGGTCGGAGTGTGTGAGGGCCAGAATTTGGAGTCAGAAATCCAGGTGAGGGTGTCCAGTTAAGACACTTCCTTTATATTATTAATTAATTATTATTATTATTGTCATGTTTTTTGGAGACAGGGTTTCTCTGTGGAATGTGACTTGTCAGGGAAGGCAGCTGACACAATGACCCCAGTCCCTAAGTGACTGAAATGGAGCAGAAGAGACAGCCACTGTCACCACATGGTGAGAAAAATGCTTGGATGAGCAGGAGGTAAAGATCCCAAGAGAAGTGTCTCTGTCCATCGCTGAGTGACAAATGCCTTCAAACGCCGTGGTTTAAAATAGTAGTGCTCACTGAGGCATTACTGTGGGTGCAGAGATGGCCCTGGGACAGTCTGCCTCTCTGTGACCAGGACTCCCCGCTGTGTCCCCATGGTGAGAGGCAGAGAGAAGTGTCGTCCTCTGAACTCAGCTCCAGAAGTCACCGGCAGGGCTTCCACTGTTACAATTATGGTGTGAAGGTGGGACCTTTAGGGGGCCCCACTGTGGGTGAGGGGCAAATGGTGGGTGGGATACAGAGACCCACAGACAGAACTTCTGTGGAAAGTTTATTGGGGGAAGGAAGGGAGGAAGGGAAGGGAAGAGAGAAAGAGACAGAGACAGAGAGACACACAGAGAGACAGCTGCCTCCTCAAAGAAATGACAAAAAGAGAAAGTGGGTGGAGTTTGCCTCTTAAAGAGACCTCTGAACCTGCGTATAAAGCCATGGTACTGCTTGCCATGCGCGGAGGCACGGTGCCAGGTTTCCAGTGGGTGGGGCCAGGTCTGCCTGAATTATTACAGCCGTCACCTGTCAGGACATGACAATCCCATTCAGAGCCCACGGAAGGGACACAGACTCCACCTCTGCATCAAGAACATCCTGCAGGCTGGGTCAAGCACAGGGGAGGGGACGATTTGGAATATATAGCCCACTCTGCTAGCAGAAGGAGGTGGGGGCACCCAGAGAGACTTTCTAGGGGTGGGGATGCTTGGCCACATCATGAGGACTGGAAAAATGAGATATGATGGGGGGGGAGGAAGGAAGGGAGATTCTGGAAGGCAGAGCAGCATCTACACAGACCAGGCTGCTGAAGAAGCAAGGGGAGCAGGCACAGGAAGTTTCCCGAGGTGGGGACCGTGAGTGCAGGGGGGGGGGTGCGGCTGCTGGATCCGGAAGCTTAACCTGGAAATGTTCCCGGCCGGCTGGCGGCCAGCACCTCTGAGAACTAAAGGAAATACACTCTTAGATTTTTCACACTTTGGGGGGACCTGGGTTAAAGTCCTCTGTTAAAGTGATCTAAAGGGTCTCTTCCTGCCTGTGGAACCAGAATGGGCTGGACTACGTTCCCCAGGAGGCTCATGTGTTAAGGCAGTGGCTTGGGGGGGGGGGGAATGGTCAGATCCTGAGGACTCAGACCTAAGCCCTTGGTTCTTGGAGATGGAAAAAAGCAGGAGGTAGGGACTAGGTAGGACGAGGACCTTAGAGTTGAGCCCTGGAATGATGTACCTTGTCCTTGGCCCCTTCCTCCTTCCCTGTACATCATAGCCACGGGTAGTTTCGTTCTGCCAAACGCTCTCACTGGCCACAGCAAGCAGAGAAGCTGATGTCTTTGTTAGGGTTCTATTGCTGTGATGAAACACCATGACCAAAAGCAAGTTGGACAGGGAAGGGTTTATCTGGCTTATAGTTTCCTATCACTGCTCATCCCTGAAGAAAGTCAGGACAGGAACTGAAACAGGGCAGGAAGTTGGAGGCAGGAGCTGATGCAGAGGCCATGGATGGATGCTGCTTACTGACTTGATCCCCATGGCTTGCTCAGTCTGCATTCTTATAGAACCCAGGGCAACCAGCCCAGGATGGTATCATGCACAATGGGCCAGCCCCTCCCCCATCAATCACTAATTAAGAAAATGCCCTACAGGCTTTCGGATAACCCAATCTTATGGAGGCATTTTCTTGAGGTTCCCTCCTCTCAGATGGCTCTAGTCTGTGTCAAATTGACATGAAACTATCCAGCACACTGACCGTGGGTTGAAAACTTCAAAACCCTGAGCCAAAATAAATAAATCTTTCATCCCAGGACCAGCGAGATGGCTCCGTAGGTACAAAAAGTGCTTGCTGTGCAAGTCCAGTGCTGAATTTGATCCCTGGAAGCCACATAAAGGTGGAAGAGAGAACCAACTCCACAAAGCTCTCCTCTGACCTCCACACATGAGCGGTGGCACAAACCCTCCCATACATACATGTCACACACGGCACATGCGGCATCTGAGTGGGGTCCAGAACCCAGGCTTCCATGTTCCTACAGGCATTCACCCTCAGGTCTGTCGCTTCCCTGGTGTCTGTGACGAGGCCGCAGCCCATGCTGCAGAAAGACGAGACAGCATATATGGCTCCCATCGGTGTCCCATGTGTTGCTCTGCCTTCTGAGTCCGCTCAAATGTAAGTGCTTGGTCTTGGAGGGACCAACCTGCTAAAACTCACCAGAAGCCAACCTTCCAGCACAGCAGTCAGCAGCAAAACTGTGGTGCCACTTCTGTGGGTGTCTATAATGCCAAGAGGCCTGCCAGCCTCAAATGAGTTCTCAGCCCAAGTGACTCACCCGGACAGTAGCATTGCCAAGCCTTGCCTACACCTGGCACCTGTGTGGTGACTTGTATTCCCAGCCTCATAAAGCGCTCACGAGGTACTCTTACATGATTTTGATTCTGGAAACAGGGGAGGTGTGATCTCCTGCTTATGGGTGGGAACTGAGGTCCAGAGAGCACGGTTCACTTGCTTAAAGTCACACGGATTTGTTGTCAGTACTGGCAAGGTGTCCCAGAGGAGACAGCATCGCTAGGCCAGGCCTGTTTCCACCATATTACCCTTGTCATTGGAGTTGTTAGGGCCAGAGCCTGGGCCCTCGGAGCCCCAGCAAGCTGATAGGCGCTCTGTCCTCAATCTGCCAATTCAAGAGATGCCTAACAGTGAAACACTGAAACTTTTTCAGTGCGGGTCACTCTGTGGAGAGGAACACACAGGAAGGTACAGTAAGTCCAAGTCCAAGTCCATCTCTGAGGTATACACCCGTGGCCTGGGTTTCAATAGAAAATAAGAGGTCTGCATAGCTAAGCAGATCTGGCCAAGGTGTGGTCCCATGTACTGCTGTTTCAGTTCCAATCTTTCCCCAAGATGATCTGAAAAGTTGTCAGAACTGGGTGAGATCTCTTCCCGGAGCATGACTCTCCTGAGGTAATCCCAGCTCCTGGGGATCCATTGTCTCAACAGCCGAATAGACCAAGGGTGGGGCACGTCTCTTCATTCCTACCAGGACAGTTCCATCCTCTCTCTCAGTCCTGAGACCTGGCATGTCACCGAGCGGCCTGATACCACTTTGTGTTGTCTCCCCAGGACACTCAGTTCTAGGGCTGGGTGACTCCAGTGTGAGTCACCTTTGTCCCAGCTAGGGAAGCACACTCACACCTGACCTCCCCAGCCTCCACTGGTCAGGGTAAACTGTGGAATGGGTGCCCCTCCCCTTCTGGGACCCCCCCCCTTTCCATGCTCGCCTTGGTATTTGGACCCTTCTGTGTACTCTGGGTCCTCTTATGTCTGTTTTCTATCTCAAGACACATGTCCCCAGGGTCTCTGGTTCTCTGGGCTCCCAAATAGGTTTGGCCAAAAGCAGGTAGTAGTGCAGAGCAGGAGGGCAGAGTAGAAGCTAGCTTGAGGGAGAAGCATGGCCTGGTGACCTGAGCTCAGACCCTTCCAGAACTGCTCTGATTTCTGTTTCAGTCTTTTGCTGCCATTTCCTACCGCTTCTTCTACGATGATGTTGGTGATGCTGGAGCCTTCCACCTGCTGCCTCAACATTTTGTTCAGCCCCTCTGGCTCCTGCTGGGTCATGGCTGATAATAATGATTTCTGGGGGACAGCACCAAGTCATCTTCTACACCAAGTGTGTCTGATCCCTTGGCACTCCAGTTACAGACAGTTGTGAGCTGCTGCGTGGGTCCTGGGAACTAACCTAGTTCCTCTACAAGAGCAACAAGTGCTCTTCGCTGGGAACCCCGGAATCAGTTCAAGCACCCCAAGACCAAGTTCTCAGAACAAAGGAGATTTATTTGCCCAGAGGGGCAGAGTGCAGAGAATAAGAGACAAAGACAGGAGACAGAGGAAGAGGGAGATGGTGGAGGCTTATTTGTCCCACATGGACAAAGAACTCTGGATAGAGAGGAGAAAGATTGGTCCATAGGCAAATGGCAGTTTATAAAGGTAAAGCAGGAAACCCCATGTTAGGAAGAACAGCCAAAGGGAGGTTTTGATTGATGTATTCCTGTGATGCCTTTTTTGGTTGTCAACTTGACTGCATCTGGAATCAACTAAAACCCCAAAATGATTGAGCACACCTGTGAGGGATTTTTTATTTTCTCTTCACCCCCTTTTCTTCTTTGAGACCAGGTTTCTCTGTGTAGCCCTGGCTTTCCTGGAATTGGCTCTTGTAGATCAGGGTGGCCTCTAACTCAGAGATCAGCCTGCTTCTGCCTCCCAAGTCCTGGGATTAAAGGCATGGGCCACTACCTCCTGGTTTGCTTAATCACTGGAAGGAGAAAGACTCAGTTCTAACCTGGGTATTTGAGGCCCTTTAATCTGGGCCACACTTCATACTGGAAGCCTATGTAAAGGACACGGGAGAAGGAGCATTGCTCTCTTTGCCTGTTGGTTTTCACTGGCAAGGCTTTTCCTTCACTGGCATTAGCGCCTACGTCTTCAGGACTCCAGCAAGTACATCCGGCCTCATGGACTGAACACCTACTGGATTCTTGGACCTTCTGTTGACAGACAGCCATTGTTGGACTAGCTCAGTAGTTTTCAACCTTCCTAATGCTGCAACCCTCCAATATAGTTCTTCATGTTGTGGTGATCCGCTGCCATAAAATTATTTTCATCGCTACTTCATGACTGTAATTTTGCTACTGTCACGAATCGCAATGTAATTATCTGATATGCAGATGGTCTTAGGTTGTTGGATCCCCAAAGTCATGACTTAGAGGTTGAGAACCGCTGGACAAGTTGGGTCAGAGCCTGAAAGTCATTCTAATAAATCTCCTTTACAGCTATGAGGTGGGGGAGGGGAGGGAGAGAATTCATTCTATGAATTGTTACTCTCGAGAACCCTGACTGATACAGGTCCCAAGCTGCCCTCCAGTCCGACACCGATGACCAAACTCCCTGCTGGCCCTGTGCGCCCCAACTCCTGTCACCACATTGGCCGTCTACCAAGCACTCTGTACTGTCCTCTGCACCTTTGTTCATGCTGTCCCCTTTGCCTAGGCCTCTGCTGTTGCTGCCATCCCCCCTCCTGCCTCCTGAGAGACGCTCTTGTGTATCATTGGGGTTGCCCTGCCTGGACCCTTCTGTGCCCTGGTGTGGCTAGCCCCACACAGGAATTCAGTAAATATTTATTGACTGCAGTGGAAAGTATTTCTTGGAATCGGTTGGCCCCCAGTTCCTTGGAGATGTGGCCTGCCACAGAGTTTCTTCCTGTTTGAACAATCAACCGGGGTTAGGGGCTCTGCTCCCTGCGCCGGGGCTGAGCAGTCTGCTGCATTCTCAGTCATTCTGGCTAATGTTTAACTCCAGCGTCTTTGTTTTCTGCAAAGCAGATAACAGGGCAATGTAGCCGGGAATGCAAAAGAGTGAGGCCCACAAGAGAACAAATAGCCACTCCATTTTGACTTTAACATGAGAAATCGATCATTTCCGAGCTGGTGAGAGGACTTAGCAGTTAACAGCACTTGCTGCTCTTGCAGAGGACCTGGGTTCAGTTTTTGGCTCAGAACTGCCTGTAACTTGAGTTTCAGTGGATCTGATGCTTTCCAGCTTCTGCAGGTACTAAGTATGCGTGTGATATAACTACACACATATAGGGAAAACACATATATACCTAAAAATAATTAAACATGAAAAAGCTGATTCTTTGCTCAGAGCTTTTTTGGTAGAAAAATGGAAATGAATATACAAACTATAGGATGCTATAACTGGGCAAAGACCATGAGGGAGACTTCAATCACAGATCTTACATGTGGGCTCCCAAAAAAAAAAAAAACTCAGGACATATGGCCAACTGTGGTGCCTATTAGCATACCAAAGTGAGTGCTGGCCCCAGGCTTGCTCAGTACCTGTGGCTCCTCTCTGCTCTTCTCACCCATCCCACCCTAAACATCTCCAGCCCAGAGACTTGGCTTCTCCTCCCCCGGCTTCCCTGCCCCAGCTTCCCTGCCCCAGCTTCCCTGCCATCCGGCCACAGCCTCTCTTGCTTCTCTCTTTGTGCTTTCTCTCTGTGCCCTGTCTGCTCTCCTCTCTCTCTCTCCCCCTCCTTCCCTCCCTCGATCCCTCTCTCTCTCCCCCTTTCCTTCTCTCCATCCCTCTCCCTCTCTCCCCCTTCCCTCCCTTTCTTTCTCTCCCTCCCTCTGTTTCTCTGTTTCTCCTCTCCTCTTCCTCAGCCTCCTCCCCACCCCTGACCCCTCTCATGTCATGGCCCATTCCAGTCTGCTGGCCTTGTTCAATGTCCAACTTTCTCTCCCTGCTCTGGGCCCTTCCAGATGCCTCTGGCTGCGCGCTCCCTCATGCCTACAATAAAAACCTTCTCCCCAACCACACCTTGGAGCGGTGTGTCCTCATCCCATTTCCTACAGTCATAGCCTGGTAATACGCTGGCCTCCAGAAAGACATCCATCACCTTCACAACCAAAACTGCAGTGTAGGTGGCTTTCTGTCAGATCCTGGAGCTTGTGTGCATCAACTTCAAATTCAAGGCTGTCTCTCCAGACCCCTCCTCTCTCTTCAGCCTCCGCCATCTTGGTATGAGCTCTCCTTCCAGGCAGACATCCTCTTTACAGCTGTTAAACAGTTTGATGTGAGGTTCACTCACTCCTGGCTCTTTGCAGACAGGGGAGGGGAGTGACTAGGGCTGTGTTGTGGTTTAAATGAGAATGGTCCCCATAGGCTCATATATTTAGTCACTAGAGTGTGGAACTCTTTGGGAAGGATTAGGAGGCATGGACTTGGAGTGGGTGTGGACTTGTTGGAGTAGGTGTGTCACTGGCTCTGAGGTTTCAAAAGCCCACACCAGGCCCATTCTCCTTCTCCCTCTGCCTGCTGTCTGTGGGTCAGGATGTAAAGCTCTCAGCTACTGCTCCAGAGGCATGTCTGTCTGCTTCCCACCATGATAATCATAGATTAAACCTCTAAAACTCTAAGCAAACCTCTGATTTGCCTTGGTCATGGAATAAAACTATAATGTAAAGTAGCATAACAGTGAAATAACGGAGTAACAGAAATGTCATTCTCATCTGACATCTACTCTGCCCCTCCTGTAATAGCCACCATATCTCCAGGAAGCCTATCCTGATGTTCCCGGGCCATACATGTGTATCTCAAATACTCACCTGCTCCTTTGTGGACACTGAACTCTCCAGACATGAAGTTATTTGTGTATATTCATGTGTTTATTTAGCTTCTTACACAGACTCTAAACTGTGATAAAAAAGACCCATTCTATGCCTCTGTGTACCCCTGAGACTACCCACAAGAATAATGGCTGCCAGAAGTTTTTACCATTGACTCTTCCAGCCTATACTTGCGGTCAACACAGTCCTGTTGCTGGGGTTTCTTTCCCATCTGGTTCCGCCACTGCTTTAGCCCCAAATAACCACACAGAGATGAATATTAATTTTTAAACTGATGGCCAATGGATAGGGATTCTTATTGGCTAGCTCAGTCTTAATTACTAGTCCATTTCTATGAATCTATGTATTTCCACATGGTCTTGGCTTACCAGAGTAGGGTCCAGACCTGTTACTCCTTCCTCTGCTACATGACATCTCTTGAAGTGCCTCTCTGCCTTTCTCCTCGTCTCCTAGCCCCGCCTATCTTCATATCCGCCTATCTTCATCAACCAATAAGAGAAATACATATACAGAAGGACATCCCCTATCATGGTCCAGAGACCTCAACTGTATGGCCAATCAACACTTGGCCAAATAACTGGAGACAACTACAAAAACGATGGAAACCCACCATATGCTGCAGCTGGCGCTGGCCACTCAGCTGCCTTTGGGGACAGGATGTTCAGTGCTACAGACTTGCTTCTGTTTACCCATCCCTGGGAATTCAGAAGAACAATTATGAGCAGGTGACCACAGCTGTGAGTCTAGGCAGGGAGGGTCAGAAGCTGGGAGACCCTCCAAAGTGCCGCCCTGAGTCATCTTGCACACCTGCCTACCTACCTCTCACTCTCCGCTGCCATTTTTCAGTGTCTTGACTTGCTTTCTCAGCTCCCCCTATGAAGCAGAGCAGAGACAAGGCAGCAGCAGCCCTTGCCAATTTGCTACCTGACCGCTGGAGACAGATCAGAGACCACAGGGACAATAAGTCACCCTGAAACCCAGGCTCTGGGGCATGCATCCTTTGGGTCTCAGTTTCTTCCGTCCAACGTGCAAGATAATTGGATCCGAGAATCTGGAAAGTCCTATCTGGCCGGGCATCTGATCCCGCACTCTTGGGGTGAGTGGGAAGCACTTCTGTCATCTTGGTGTGTGAGCTCTGACCAAACACTGCTTAGAATAGCGCTCTCAGCCGCGATATCAGAGGACTCACTTGTGTGTGTCAAAACGTCGTTATTAAGCGGGTGGAAGGTGGCCTCTAAGCCTGAATTTCTAGCCATCTCCCAGCCAGTGCTCAATTTCTGCCAGCCCCGCTTATGTCCTGGGGAGTGAAAAGCTGGCTCACAAGACCCAACCACAGACCTATGGCATCAGAAACTCCAGGGTGTCGCCTGGCAGTCAGTGCCTTATGCTGTCTGTCCCTCAGCTTGTTCCAATGCAGCTCAAGTTCAGAACTACCACTCCAGGACAGCTGCTTTTGAACTTGGCTATGGACTGGAATCTCCTACAGAGAGAGTTTTTGAAACCCTGGTATCTGAGTCCAACTCCCATATACAAATTTAGTAAACATGGAAAGCGATGGGGCGTCAGGATTTTAAAACATGCTTTAGGTGATCAGAATGCGCATGGGATGTACTAAAGGCGCAGGCATCCAGGCTCCTGGTGGCGATTCTGAGGTTCTCCGCAGGTGCTCGGCCTGAGACGGCCGTGAGGGGGCACTGTGGTGCCGCGGGCAAGCTCCGGGCTCCCGGCAGCTGCTGGTCGCCACTGCAGAGGCGGTGGCTGCGCCTGTGGCGCGCGCCTCCGGGAGCGGCTCCTGGCCGAGGCTTGCCCTGCGCCTGCATCTGTACCTAATTAATGCTGGCGGCTGCTTAGGCGCGCTTGACGTTAGTGATGGGCTGGGGGAACGCCTGCAGCCTCCCGGCACAGGTTGCTTCACTCCACCAGCTTTGCTCTCTGCCTCCTCCAGGACTCGGGCTCCCCTCTGGAGCTGCGCCCTGACACTTGGTGCCGTTCCAACTTCTCTTCGTTAGGTTCCTTGTCCCTTTCTGAGGCTCCCACCCAGCAAGTTCCACAAGCCGAGGGACCTGCTGGTCAGCTGTAGAAACCAGCTCCCGCCTTTTCCTCTCATGGTTTCTCTCTCTTCCTTCAGCCCTTAGCTGAGCTGTGTGGGTCTAAATAATAAAGGTTTTCATACACCGGGGTTGCCTCTGGTTTTGTGACATATAAAGCAGGGTCCTTTGTAAGGACCTTCGAAGTCTATGGGGGTGGGAGCCGAGGGTTGCTTCCTGGGTTTTGATTTTTTTTTAAGGACTCTATTTTTAGGAATGGGGCTTTATCCTGAAAAGGATGGTCCCTGTTTGGCTTCTTAGCGGGCTGGAGACATCACCCCCACGAGGGGAGGGGGTCCCAGCAGGCTGCTAGAGTGACCTTTATCATAAATATCCCACCCACCTCCCCATCTGTT